CCACAGATCTCTTCCAGCACCATCATCCTGTGATGTGAGCCCAAGACACACAGTTACCTGCCATTTTCTACAATGGAACACCTCAGTTATGGTGGATCATGAGATCTGAGAGGTGAACTCATTTAACTACTGATCTTGAAGCAAACCTGCAAAAGCCTCTGCCATCAATACAAGAACCTGTATGTACATTCATACACAAAATTTTGTAACTTTAAATCAGGCTCTTAATTGATAAATCAACTGCAAAACAGATATCAATTTGTTCATATCAAAATACGAAACACAGTGTAAAGTACAAAGCAAAGTACAGCATGGTACTGCTGGTATATAAAGGATTACATGGCTTTATCAGACAGAATCTCTTATATCTTTATTCCAGGCACTATTTTTTGTGCATTTTAGAAAGCAAAGACTCTCTTTAAGATAAATGAAGTATTGATTTTAGGTTCAAGCTAGACTCCATTAAGATGCTCTTTTAAAGTCACATTGTGTCTGCAAAGAGTGAAGTTTTATGACCATAAATCAGTTTTCTAATACACATAAGTGAGCTTTTCATAAGCACCCAATATAATTCACCCAACTTCCCTGTGCATCAATAGAACTTGACTGGCTGCCTTCCTAACTACTTTCAGAAGACCTTCCCTGCATGTCTACTATTGAATGTATCACTGATGAATACGTTATACTAGAGACAGCCAGTTTCTTTCTGAATAGAAAAGCAGCAGAAATAACAGACAATCAATAACTTACAGAGGCCATTTGTGTGTGTTGAAAGCAGATGGTTTAAAACCATATTTGAATAAAGTAAGAACTTCTGGCCAATGTGCCACATGGTTTGAAATGCCTCTGGATCTACTAGCTCCATCTACACTGACAGATGCACCTTTAAACTCCAAAAGGGCTTTTAACAGAACAAACCTGGGTAAATTCTAACAGCCTCTCTGAAACTGCATGGAAACTTACAGGAACTCAGTTTAAGCATACACAGATGGCTTATCTTTATCTATACTTCGATATCAAATTTACTGTCAAAAACGTGAGCATGTTTGTAATAACAAGAGTAATACACAAATGAAAACTGAGAGGCAACACCTCAAGAGGAAGCAGAGAAGCATTGGAACAGTGAATAAAAAGTCTACTTTAAAAATTGCTAATTATTGAAATGCCACCTGTTCCTCCAAGCACTCAAAAGCAGAAAGTTTTCCAGTGTAATGGAACAGTTAATTCTTCGTAGTTCAGACAGATGAGTGATTCATTAGAATTTTTCTTATTCTATCTGGGATTTTTTCCTGAGTGAGTCATTGTGAAATTATTTACCTTGAGAACACCGCACGGGCAGCCTCCCCCGTGGTGCTGTAGCATTTCAGTGTGTAGCATTGTCATTTGCATCTTGGCATGGTCCACCCACTGTATGCCAAACACACATTTTTTAAAATCCTGCTGCTCTGCTTCAGTGTAACTGCATTTATCTCTTGTCAGAACCCATTTTGATTTTGGATACAACCAGCAATGAAATAAAAGGGAAATGGGAGTGATTTCCAAGCCAAGCTGGGTGGAGTTAAGACATCAAGTTCTAATAGAAACATACTCTTGCTTTGGGCTTTCTCAGAGCTTGGCCCAGACATGCTAAAAAGTGTGCAAACAGATCCTGAATATTTGTTTCAGGCAGAACTGAAACCCAAAAAATGTTCTGATTCTAAGGCAAAATATAACTAGTTTTTGATTCCCGTCCTGACTGAAAACAGAAAGAAAAGTTAAATCACTTCTATTTTCTTCCATCTTCTCTGCCTTTCCCCTAATGTCAAGGCTTTCACAAACCTCAGCAAATTTTCTTCTCTTGAGGTCAGATACTTTTAATTCAGTTTTCCATAGGCTGTGTATCATGCCAACCAGGAGTACAAAGAACTTTTTAGAAACTGCTAATGTAGATTTTTTTTTTTTTTAGAAAAATATATATGCAGGTTGTGAAACCTTGTTTGCCCAGTTTACCTGCTTCTGAGTCTCTTGATGGGCAGAATCCCTGTTGGCAGATTTATCCCATGTTTGTGAGAACAAAGGTAGCATCGGATTCAGTAATATTGCCAGAGTTGTTTTCTTTGGTAATACATACTGAGCTGCATACCATGATTTGACAAATGCATCACACAGAATTAGTACTGTTGCACTGCTTATGCTATGGAGAAAACAATTAATGGGACAGTCTTCAAATTTTGCAATTATATGTGGATTCAGAGAACAACTCTAGTTCATGTGTTCATGTGGCATCTCGAAGTGAAATTTTGATATAACCCTAAACTTTTTCATACACAGTCTGAGTCTGTCCATGGCTTCAAATGTCCCCAGATAACTTACAAACAGAGGATTTTGGTGATGAACAATCTCTCTGCTGTGTTCACTGGTTATACTTTTATGTGGTGCTGCTCCATAATCAAGACTTCCAGACATAGCAGTGAAGGGATACATATGAAGTGATAATAATCACTCATGTAAGTAATACTGTGTGTTTACTTGAAAAATGCATTGCTATAAAGAAAAGTGAAAATTGATTCCTTTCATTGTGTTCATTTTGTCTTTAGTATGACCCTGTAGCAGGTAGATGATCTGTGAAACAGTGTTTACTCTACCTAGTCTTGTCTCACTGTCATCTTCCAGCCTCCACTTTACTATGGATTAGAGGAGTTCAAAGCCTCTCTGATGTTCAAAATCTGTCTTCAGATAGTCTGCATGAGGGTTTCTGGCTGCAGTGTCCCTTGATCAGTGTCATTGAGTAGACCTGCATTGACAGTAGACCTTTATGCTCTTAATGACAGAGAGCACACCTCAAGCATCTTTTCAAAGAGCAAAGTAGATCTCAAAGATGCTATTAGATGCCTTTTAAATTCCAGATTGTGTAACATTTCCACATTTGCTTAATGATATTGAGTAAGCATGAAGAATGTGCTGAGTGCATGGACTCCTCAGAGCATCAAAAATTAACCCCAGAATAGTGGTAAAGTGGTATAACTATGGAAGTTGCTTTCTTGTGATGGGATTTGTTTCACTTGTTTATGGTGTTTCATTCAAGTCAGGATGGCCATTTGAGCAGATAAAGATCTAGAGAACTAATTTTGAGCTCTATTACCACTAAAGATGTTTAACATGACTGCCCAGATCCCAGACAGATCTTGCAAGCAAAATGAGAGTAGCAGCACATACTGTGAGATATAGATCAGTGCAGAACAATTTGAAATTGAATTAAGCCCAACTCACAATGCATATGATTTTGTAGGATTGTTCAATGGAGAGCTCAGTTGTACTCTTTTGAAACTGAATTTTATGGAATCAATATGCACCAAGCATTTGGATGTAGCCATGTGGGTAGCTCAGTGTATTTTCCTTGCATGTACTGAAATAACAAACCTAGAAAGGTTAATTCTTCTTTCACAGCGCTTAGCTATTCTAAAACTTCTTGTGTTATAATTTGCTATAGATTTCAAGTGATGAACGTTTTTGTGTCTAAATTCAGTTTATCATATGACACTAGAGGCCACAGAAGAGATTGTTTTGCAGCAATATGATACAACATTTTTATAATAGGTCTTTCAGTAGTGAACCACTACAAGTCAAGACCCTAGTTTAGTTCAAGAAACATTAATTTAGTGGCAAGGACATCTGTTGTATATTACCAACATTAACTGCTCTTGAAGTAAAAGCTATTACGTACCTATGCTGATGATAACAGAAGTCTAGTTCATTTTCTAGAAATGAAGGAATGAGAAGTAGTCTATTAAAGACAGTGAAAGTCCCACTGAAAATTTGTTTACTGTAATTTAATGGCAGGATTTTCTCCCCGTCTATATAACTTGCCACAGGTATTTCTTTTGTAGGTAATTTTATGATTGATGATTCAGGTTGGCAAGTGCCCTTTGGAATATTTAAAAGAGACTAAGAGAGACAGAGAGTAGTTCATTTCTTCATATGCCAATAGCAGCGGTATCTAAAGTTTAAAAAATACATAGGCCAAAGAGTTCTCAATCCCATCGAGGTCTGTAGCAATGCTGATGGGAGGGGATGTGCGGCAATAGACAGAAGTAGCTAAGGGAGTGTTAGGACTGGAAAGGCCTCTAATTACTAATTAACTGCTGGTACACATCCTGCTGGCCAGCACCAGGAGCCATGTCTGGGCTACAGAGATGGCAGTGGGAACAAACACCAGAATGTCTTTTCTGACCTTTCCTCTAGGGCAGAAGAAATATCCTTCAGGAATTATGAGAGAACTGGCACTGGTCTGCTCCTGGATAAAACCATAAGTGGAACACAAACAGCTCAGGAATTAAACTTGTCTAGATCTTAATAGGGATAAATTATCTCTTTTTTTCAGTTTTTCATTCAATTAAACTATTTAGATTGAATATTTTTAATTGCACTTGTGGGAATGGGAATATGTTGTTTCATTAGAAGCAATTTTCATATTATGTAAAATACATAAACTTTATGAAACTTATTAGTAAAAAATTAGTTTCCTGGAAGAGAAAATGATACACATACAATTTTTGTAAGCTAGAATTGGAAACAGTTGTTCTGTAACAGGATTAGAATTCTAGTTACATTAATTTGTACTTTTTTTATCTACTACGGCCATGAGCAATTCTGTGTGAAGAGCACATCACATTTCTAAAGGGATTTTGACCACAGTATGTATCATAAAGAGATTAACACTACCAATATAACTCCATTTTTTTCAGGCACTGCTGAATCAGTCACCATTAATATAACGAAACAGTGATGAGATGTAAATAATAGGAGACAGAACTTCCCGCTCTGTAGACATCAAGGTCGTCAGTAGTCTTGGAGACAATTTGCTATTTGTGTAGAGCACTGTCTGTACCAGGTGAGACTGTACCACTCTTATGATAGCTGCAGTGCGTTCAAGTCAGGAAGGCCTAACGAACCACAGCAAAAAGAAATATAACATAAGAGATGAATTTTTTATTTCTCTAGAAAGACTCAAAGTACAGCAGTGGTAGAATAGATGCACAAAGCAGCATACAGTACAATACTGCAGGTAAAAGGCAGTGGCTATCCCAAAGTAGTTAATATCAGCTTCTCAATATCACATTCATTTTGTCCACGTAGAATCCTAAAATAGCCATTTTCTCCCCAGTATTTTCCCCATGAATTTGCTGCAATCTAAAGAAAAACAAAGAGGAAAAAAAAAATTAATGGTATTTTAAAATGCAAAGTGTGGAATTTAAAGGTAATCTCATGTGATATTTTTCTCTAATGAAAAAGTTTCTCAGATTTGGTGAGAATCAAAATGCATTTTTTCCTTATTCCTTCATTTATTCCTTTTTATTTTGATCAAAATTTTAGTTCCAAAGCCAGAGTTAATAACAATGGACTACTATTGCTATTAGGCTGTCTGATTTATTGAAGAAGAAATTATTAGGTAATCCAAATATCACCTGGAGAAAGTGGTAGTTTAAATGATATTGGTCAAAATTCAAATTAATGTTAATCTATTAACATTAGTTTCATAACATTAATATGTAGACATATGTTACATAAACACAAGATATGAAAAATTGGCTTTTAATAAATCAGGTTATTTCAGGTTATTATTGACATTTAGTTTCTAATGAATTCAGAAGGGTTTGTGCCTAAGATGTCAGTAGAACCAACAACCACAAGTCCTGCCATCAGCTATATGAATTCCAAATTATCTTCTGCTAAGCACTGGAATAATGGTAGGAGCTGTTAATCTCAACCAAAATGATAAAATCTGACTGACTTTAAATTGCTGAAAGGCTAAGTTTAATTTTTTTTGCTGACAGCTAGAAGACATTTTGCAATGCTGTTTAAATAAATAGCTTGTCTTTTCAGAATATTTTCCCAAATAATATTGACACATATTGTTGAGTTTCATTTTCAGACCACAAAAAGAAGGATATTTTTATGGGAAAAACTGAATAAGTGTTGTAGGAGAAAACACAGATATAAATGTAAGGTGATCAGATGAAGTAGACTTTGAAATTGAGGAAGATCTTGCTGTAATTCAAGGGTCAACAGGATAAAACCTTGCCAGAAAGGGGATAGAATTGTGCAGGAGACTTAAAGGTGAGTGGAAAACAACAACAAAAGCAGATAGTAAAAGAGGGAATGAAAGAAAAGAAGGATTTTTTTTCATAGTCTGTATTTTAGAAATGTTGTCTCCTTCTTTGTAACAGAGTGCTAAGGACTCACTTACCCAGAACTTCTGTTTTTGTCCATTTTTGCCAGGTAATGATCCCCACCTGTTATAAGAGATGGTACAAGTGAGGCCTCTAATGCATTTGATCATATTTTGCAGCTTTAAACAAGCAACCAGAATAGAAAAGCTAATGCTAGTTGTCCTAGTACCGGGGATGAAACAGCTTGACTAATTGATGACTTCACTGATGAAAATGAAGGTATTTGTCCTCCTAGCCACAGGTCAAATTGCCAGCAGGGACTAGAAAAACTTCTGGGCACAAGAGTGCCTTTAGTTTCTCATTGCAATGATCTAATGTTTTCATTGACAGAATCTCTCCTCCAGAGAGCTTGCCAGCTGAACTAACCAAACTGTGTAGGAGTACTTAAATTAATGTGAACACATTTCAATTCACCTTAAGAACCACAGAAACTTTTTTGTTAAAGATCTCATCCAACACCTTTACAAATATAGCCGGTAAACTGGGACCGGCTGCTCTCAGCTCAGATTGAATTGCTGACAAACTAATTTGGTTTTCTGCACAGTGAGGGAAATGACCTGTAAACCTGGTATTTCTCTGACATCTTTCAGGACATGTTAAATGTTGTGGTAATATCCATGAAACCACACAAAGCCTGTCCCCTCCTCCGAGTGACAGATGTTTTGTAGTTGTAGCTGAATTGCTCAGTGCTCTGAGATGATAAACTTCACTTTGCATAGATATTTGGTAGCAGAAGGTCCAAGGCCATCATCTGGGTGTAGTTCGATTAGTGAATGCTACATTGCATGCCTTAGGTGCATGCGTATGTTTGCACATCTACTGACTGCCTAAGGAACCCTGCTGGCTTTTTTTTAATTTATAAGGTGAATACTTGTTTATTTGCTGTTCATGGGCCATGATGCTGGTACCTGCTAAAGGGGACAAATAAAAAGAAAGCCAAAGATGTGAACATCTATTACAGGTGTTTTTTTTTCACAGTATAAATTAATCATAAAATGTACGAAATTATCGCACCAGTATCCTCACTAGTATATGACCAAAGTCAAATAATTTGGTGCATTAATGGTGCTCCAATCATTTTGAAAGGCAATTAGCAAAAATACAACAAGAAATCCTATGATGCAGATGGGGAAATCTGGAGTTTCAAGTCATCTTTGTAAAAAACAGCCACAGCGGCATCAATTCCCCTGGGTTAACAGCAATGATCTGTGGAATGTGTGGAATAGCTGTACTTCTAGTCAAAGGGGAAAACAAAAAAGCAAAAAAGACAAATTTAAAACCCCAGGATCCAAATCTTTCAGAGTAACAGTTGATATGAAGAGACACTGAGCAAGATAAGCTCACAGTTTTTCACTGTAGTACCATGACTGTGTTTGAACTGAGAAACCAGGGATCATTCCAGCCTCATTTGAGCCCAGGACCTCAATGTCCTTCTCCTTGACAGAGATTTTGCAGGAAAGATATCCTGCAGCGTGTAACTGTCTCCTCATCTAGCCACATGCTCTGCCTGTTGATATTTGCTGTTTCAATTTCCTTCAAATTCCAGTGGTTGTATGACTGCAGGTTAGAGGTAAAATCCCACTGTGGCAAGTAATATTGCTGTTTGTTTTCCAGTCATGGGCTCAATGCTATCAGAAAAGAAGTACAGAACAATTAGATTAAAATGCTCACTTTGGGAGTAAAAGCTTCGTGACTAGCATAGAGTTGAAGTCTAGATTACAGTTGTGATCCCAGCTGTAGCTACTACTCAGTGCAAGAAGCAATGTTGGTGATAATGACCACTTATTGTAATTGTTGTGTTTAAAAAAACGTTTCATGATGCTTTTTCTTTGTACTACCAGGAGAAAGTTTAGGGATTATTAATAATCTTTGTTATTTCTTTGCCTAATATGCTTTTGATACAATCAGTCATGATCATACATTTATTCATTTATATTCATTTATTCATATCATATTGAGATTTACTTGTGGCCATTTTACTAAAAAATTACATCAGTTGCAGTTTGAAAGTCCACTAGTTACATCAGTCTTATGGATAGATGAAAATTTCCTTGTATTTATGTTCTTGTATTCCTACGTTCAGTACATTATCACTCTCATTTATCAGAGTGGTATGATGACCAGCTCTTGAGGTCTCTCATCTTAAATTTCTGCTACTACATTGTTTTTTTAACATGTTATTTTCAAAAAAATCCCAAATTTGTTTTTATGTTTTGATAGAAATATATTGATTCTCAGAAATGTTTCTATCTAGAAGAAAACTTAGATAATAAAATAGGAACAGGTCTTTTTTTTTTTTTTTTTTTTTAATCTTTGACAATAATGTAGCAACGAGTTTAATTTCCTGGATTTTATTCTATCTAATTGTATACAAAAAGCAATACTTGATATATGCTTTCTATCTTACAGTTTAGAAAGAAGAGCTGCTTATTCAGTAATTCATTCCCATTGATTCATTTAAGTACTCTAAATAAAAATAAAATGTACAATAGTGCCTTCAGTAGGTCAAGAAAAGGGACTGTTCTCCCTTAGTGGAGCAGCCTGTCTATTTTTGACATTCACAGACAGGAAAGACATGAACAGACTGGAGCAAAATCAGTAGTAAACCCCTGAGGTGTTTGGATCTGGAGCACAGGATGTACAAGGAGCGGCTGAGGAAGCTGGCTCAGGAAAGGTTGCTTGGAGGAGATCTTTTTGTTGTCTCCAGTTTTATAAAGTAGCACAGAGAGACAGACTCTCCTGAGGTATGCATAGCCAATAGACAGAAGTTGACAGTCATTGTTTTCAGCAAGAGTGGTTGCAATTGGACGTAAACAAAAGAAAGTATTTTACAACATGAGTTGCTAGTAGAATGAGAAGTTGTGGAATATCTGTCTTCAGATACACTCTAAACTTTTTGGACTTGGAAGCTCCAGGAACTTGAATGAAGGCTGAAACTGGTTCTTTGAGCTGGGGGTTTGAATTGAATGACCTTCAGATGTCCTTTCTAGCCTAAACTACTTAATAATCTTAGCAATTGGATTTACGTTGGACCTGCTAATCTGCCATTCCATGAAGTTATTTTGTATTCAGTATACAGCTCTTGTGTTACAGTTGTATAGCACAGTAGGCTAATAGACTGTGATGAGGCAGGTGTTTTTGTCAGTTTTTTAACAGCTATGGTTAAAGAACAGATGATAATGTTGGTTCATTATTTACTGTTCAAAACCAGTCTTGAGGTTAGTGCATGAATCAGGAGCAGGACGTAGCAGGAAAGGCAGAATAGACTGACAGGTCCTCAGATGCTCATCTTTAGTGGCAGCAAATGCAGCATGGAGTTCCAGGCCCTTTTGACAAAGCCTTTCCTAAATCTTGGCATGGTTGGCTCAGGCTCATTCTATAGGCTTGCTCAGATTCACCAGTTCTCATTTCTCCCAGGCTAATGTGCTTCTCTTCATCTGAAAAGCACTGAGCTGTAATGTAAACAGCTGTTGTTTTGTGAAATATGCTAGCTATATACTGTTCAGTGTTGCAGCATTTTGGGTCCCGTGCCAGTTTGATTTGACATCTGCCTCTGGGAATGCATGTCAGCTCCAGCTAAGAGCATTTCTGGAGACTTTCTGGCTCATTCATATTTGTATAGCCTTTAAAGAGAAAGCAATTATTTCCAAAAACACCTAAGTGAAAGCTATTTCTGCTGTAGTACCTTTAGGAATGGAGGAAATATTTTCTAAAATAGATTTCTCAACTTTCTAAATGTGTCTTCCCAGCAGAAATATTTCATTTAATCTTTTAAATTTCTCTTTCTCTGTTTTTCTGCCTAAAAAGTCACGCTTTGGTAGTTTTCATAATTTCAGTCTTACTAATGAAATAAATTCATTGCATATTGTATCCCTTGGTTCTACCTATCATACCTTATGGCAAGCAAGCACAACTTCCACTTTAAGTTTAATTTAAGTTTAGTTTCCTTAGAGAAAAAGAATCCCTCAGTATCCTTTCTGCTGCAAAGTCAAGTGTCAGGGTGAATTTCCTGAGTCATAAAGACTCATGATATAAATGAATAATAAATTCAGCTTAATTTTAGCTGCTCTTTTACCTGCTGCTGTAAGTACTGCTGCTTGAAGTATGAACAAAAACTAACAGACACATTTGTTTAAAAGTAACACAAAATATTCAGTAATCTGAAAAAAAAAAGCCAGAGGAAATGTGAAGCTTGTAAAACTCACGCCCATCCACTGGAATGAATAGAAATTGGATGGTATGTTATTTCAAAAATTCAGAAATCAATCATGTTTCAATAGAGTTTACATTCTATGCGTTTTCATAATTAGACTGAAGTCTGTGTCTTTTACTGTATCTGGGTCATCACTGAGATGTGACTTCTTTATTTCTTTTATATTTTTAAACATACACTAGTTACAAAGGTTTGTTCACCTGCCTAAATGCAGGTGTCTAGGGCCACTTGAGATGCCCTTGGATGCCAGAAACATCCTCATGGCAGACGTGACGTAAGAGCTACAAGAAATCTGTGTCCTCTCAGAAAAGTAACCAGACAGCAACTTCTTTCCACTGCTGCTAGCACCAAATACTCCTGAGGGTACTAACATAACCACAAGCAGGTGGAGCTGAGTTGCCCTCCAGGCTCCATTGCCTATGTTGACTATATCACCATTTTTAAATTGACAATTTGGAAATCTAGTGTGTCATGTCTACATCAGAAACATAACTTTAGGCATTTGAATCTGGACATAGGTGCATAGTGAAGTGTGAGCAAAGCAAAGGAAAAGGTTGGAAAATATTAGGAAATATATAGTGAATAAAGTGTTGAATGGGTATCAACAATCTAATAATGTGCTGTCATAATATAAATACAATTTACAATAATTTTTCATCCTTGTATGTCTTAAATATCTTATAAAGAATAAATTAAAAAAAAAAAAAAACCAACACTCAAAAACCAAACAGCAGTTATGAGAAAAAAATGCTGCCTACAGAAATCAGATTTTACCTCGGAATTCCTCAAATCATCAAAACAGATTTATTTTTTAAATAAAGATATTCATCCACTGTTTGGAGAAGCTGAC